CGGAGCTGAGGGCAGGGGAGGGTGAGAGCCCAGGTCAGGGACAGGAGCCTCGCCGGGCAATGGCCAGGAAGTGGTGGCTGCAGGTAGATGGTGCACGTTGGCCTGGTTGTCCAACCTGCCCTATGCCCTGCAAGGCCAGATGACTGAGGTCACTGGACGGCCAGGCCAAAAGCAGGCCCCAGGTGACCTCCAGTCCGTGAAGAGCTGTGTGAGTCTGGTGGCAAGGACCTAGGTCCTCACAGCTCTGAGCTCGCAAGGACCTGGGACTAAGAGTTGGGGTCAGAAGAGCCCAAGTTAGGCCAGTCACTGCTCTCAGAGGCTCAGAAATCTGAGATCTTAGGATGCCCAAAAGATGGAAGAGAAAAATGCACACACACTTTCTCGCCAGCACCGTGACTTCCAAAGCCACCCGCTGCCCTGGTGACCGAGAGAACATCTCTCGCGCCCTCCACGTGCATTATTATGTGTAACTGTTAACATCTCTTCAGATGCATAGAAATCTATGCAGTTATTCTATAAACTCTGATAGACACACAAACACAAAAGCTGAGGATACACACAGACAGCCACCCCTGCAGCCCCCAGTCCTGGCCCTACAGGGCCTCCACCAGTCACCCCATCTCCTGTGACCTGCAACCTGTGTTACAATACTTCGGCATAGTTGCTAGATGACATAAAGGGTAATTGCGACACTCAGTTCAAAAGCCACAGGTTTCCGTGGTGGAAATCAGTGATATTCAAATACGCTGGTTGGCTAGTGTTCTAGAGCTGCACTCTGTGTATGAAGAGGGCATCGGATTCACCTTCTGGAATGCTGCTGTGGGCTAGACTCTTCATCTGTCCCGTGCCTGCCTGTGGGTCACTGGATTCTGACTGCCTGTTGCTGTGAGCACTGGGTCGGCCCCTCAAACCACAGGGTCATGCCTGCCCTAACAAGGACCTGCACACAGTGTGCTTGAAGCATCTCAAGGGACAGAGTCCAGGAGCTCCACAACACCTGCAGACCAGCTACTTGACGGCCGTCCCTGCATCTGCCTGAACCACCTGGGTAGGCAGAACTAGGTCAGCAACTGGCTTCCATCCAGCCGGGGATCTGGTGGGGTTGGAAACCTGTGGCCATCAACTACATACGGGGTGGCTGATATTTAACCAGAAGTCAATAATAGGGTCTGACCTGACTGACCTCGGTCAGTTTCAACACCTACACCCTATGCACGTGTTCATACATACCCTCTCCAAGACCCACACGCCCCGCTGTCCTGCAATCCGATATAAACACCCGCGCACATTTCTCACACCGCATACACGCTCACCTCATCTGGCAGAAATCCTTGCTCACACGTGTGCTCTTGCACTCGGGCAGGGTAAGTCAAGAATGAGCTAAGCCACTGTAGAAACGAACTCATAGTCTGTATTTCCATCTCTAGTTCCATTCCTGGGGAGCACTACGCAAGGAACAGCCCCCCACCACCCTCCCAGAAGCCCAGCCTTACAGCCACCAGGGTCTTCTGCTGGTGGCACACGTTCGGCAAGTTCCAGAAAGAATCTGCCAGGGGCATGCTTCTGCTCTGCACTTCCATGCTGGTGCTAGCGGCACCTGTAAAACTCTAAGTGCTCTCCGGTATTTCAGAATTCCAGAACCTTCTGTCTCCTTACCCAGGGAGACTGCACTTTGGCACTTGAGAGGGGTTTAGGCATCTGTGAGAACACGTGGCCATCACTGTGGCTGAGGATCATCAGTTTCTGGGTGTCAGAGGGTAGCCATGCCTACATAGTGTCGTCTGGGGCTTTTCCCTCTGCTTCCAGTTCTGGCCCAGACTGTCCTCTGAGCTGAGAGCACAGTGCTCCTCCCTGAGTAGACGGTTTGGTTAGCCAGCTGGACTCGGGTCCCTGAAGGCAGCTGGCAGCTGACAAGAAGGCAAAACAGAAGTGATCATGAACCTGGCCGGCCTGGCCCCAAATATGCCCCTTGCAACTGAGGCCGACACAGGCCCAGGGCTTGGTGCTGCTCCAGGGAGCCAGAGGCGCTGCTGAGTCCGAGCAGTGAGCCCTGGACAGGAAGCAGCCCTGTCGACAGCTGGGCTCCTGTCCTCACCCCCTGAGCAGCTGGAACCAAAGCCACATGCCAGGAAGGGGACAGGACCCGGGGGCCAAGGCCTTCCTGCCTCTGCTGCTTGGTCTCCTGAAGCCTAAGGCAGCCGGGGGCAGGAAGGGTGAAGGGCAGACCCAACGTGAGCAGGAAGCCCGGCTGGAGCTTCCGTCCTTTCCCAGGGGCAGCCAGGAGAAGGCTGCACCCCGGACTGGCCCCCTCCCTCTGGGGGGCCGGGCAGTGTCTCTCAAGGCCAGATGCGCAGGTAGGTGCCTGTGGAGCAGATGGAGAAAAGGGGGAACACACGCTCCTGGAAGTTGACACGGAAGGTGTAGAGGTGGCGCATGTCCTCCACAGCGTAGAAGGACACGGCCCCCACCTCCAGGTCCAGCGCCACCCGCACGCGGGACAGGTGGCCGCAGCTGAGGGGTGTCCGCTCAGGGCTGGTCACGGCCCAGTACTGCCCACCGTTGAGCTGCAGCGCCCAGACGCCCTCCTCGGGCGTGAAGGGCGTGAGGCCCTTGCGGCGCACACTCTCACGGGCCACTCCGAAGGCCCAGCCGTCCTGGGAGCCCACCTCCACCTCCCAGTGGTGCCGCCCGGAGGAGAAGCCGCAGGACGCCAGGACTCGCGTGTTGGTATCAAAGCGACGCGGGTGGTTGGGCAGGTCCTGGGCCCGCTGTCCGAGGCGCACGCTCTTAAGATCCAGCGAGAGGATGAGGCGGGGGTTGGCCGAGTCCGGGTCCAAGGTCAGCTCCACTGCAGTGGGGGAATCAGGGAGAGATGGCCCCTGCAGGCCCCTTGCACAGCCCCTGCCCCATTCCTGCCCACCCCCACACCCTACCCCTACCCTCGCCCCCAACAAGTACATCTGAAATCAAACTGTACAACTTAGATACTGGAAAGAACCATCAACTTTTCTAATTATGATGATGGTTTTTCGGTTGTTTTTTATCTCTTTAGCCCTGGCCGCTGTGACTCAGTTGGTTGAGCATCCCATGCACCAAGAGGTCTCCGATCAGGGCACATGCCCAGGTTGCAGGCCTGTACAGGAGGCAGCCGATGGAAATGTTTCTCTCCCCTGCCCCCCCACCTTCCTCTCTCTCTCAAATCAATATAAACATATATGTATTTTTAAAAGTCTCTCCTTAGAGCCCTAACCAGTTTGGCTCAGTGGATAGAGGGTCCCAGGTTCGATTCCAGTCAAGGGCATGTACCTTGGTTGTGGGCACATCCCCAGTAGGAGGTGTGCAGGAGGCAGCTGATCGATGTTTCTAACTCTCTATCCCTCTCCTTCTTCTCTGTAAAAAATCAATAAAATATATATTTTTTAAAAAGTCTCTCCACGCCCTGACCGGTTTGGCTCAGTGGATGGAGCATCAGCCTGTGGACTTGAGGGTCCCAGGTTCGATTCCTGCCAAGGGCATGTACCTTGGTTGTGGGCACATCCCCAGTGGGAGGTGTGCAGGAGGCGGCTGATCGATGTTTCTCTCTCATCGATGTTTCTGACTCTCTATCCCTCTCCCTTCCTCTCTGTAAAAAAATCAATAAAATATATTTTTTAAAAAAGTCTCTCTTTAGAGGTCAAATACTGAAATATTTATGGAAATGATATTATCTGTGATTTGCTTCAAAATAGTCCAGTAGGAAGAAATAAGCAGGGGTGTCAGTGGTAATTGCTGAGGGTGTATGATGAGCATGTAATATTTGTTACGCTTATCTCTCTACTTGAGCATATGTTTGAAATTTTCCATAAGAAAAAGCTAGAGCCTGGCCGGCATGGCTCAGTGGCTAAGCATCGACCTATGAACCAGGAGGTCACAGTTCGATTCCCGGTCAGGGCACATGCCCAGGGTTGAGAGCTCGATCCCCAGTGTGAGGGTGTGAGGTGTGCAGAAGGCAGCTGATCAATGATCCTCTCTCATCATTGATGTTTGTATCTCTCCCTCTCCCTTCCTCTCTGAAATATATACATATGTGTGTGTGTGTGTGTGTGTGTGTGTATGAAAGAAAAGAAAAAGCTCAAATATGCACACTTTTCAGTGTTCCAGGCCTCCTATGAGCAGGCCCTGGGAATCCCAGCCCTCCTGCAGCTTCCTTTGTTGGAAGAGGGGAGGAGAGACAATAAATAATTTTAAAAATATAGAAGAGGGATCAGGACAGCAGCTGTGATCTCAACTAGAGGGGCCAAGGACGGCCTCACTGAAAAGGTACATTTAGGCGAAGACACAGAGAAGGTGAAGACACCAGGCAGGCGGCCGTCTGGTGCAACAGGGCCCAGCCCAGGGAAGTGTGTGCCCTCGGGGAACAGGATGCCCCCGGGGAGCCCGTGCAGGGCGGCCCGAGGGTGCCTGGAGAACTGCAGCCTTTGCTGAGTGAGAGGGGCCTGTGCAGGGCTCTGTGCACAGGAGGGGCACAGTCTGACTCGCCTGGTTTAGATTCTTTCCAGGCAAAGTCTGGCTTGGCCCCCCACTCCCCTCCCTGTGGGGCTGGGTCCCACTCACCCAGAATTCCGCAGGAGTAAGAACCACCTCCCTTGTCCTCCGTTTCTTCCTGCTTCCCCTCACCCCTGCACACAACTCCGGTCCCCAGAAGAGGCCTCAGTAAGTTTGGGAGTGGGGACAGGGGAGAGAGGGGCTTGTGTAGGTGACTGACAAGCCTTCCCCAACCTAAGCATCCTGAGGGGCAGGGCACTCCTGCTCCGGGCCACAAGCCTACAGGCCCCCCGTGGCCTGCGGGAGTGGGCGCTGTGAGGTATGGTCAGGGAAGGGGAGTAGATGGCAGGCACGGAGGTGGGCGGTGGGCGGGCAGAGGGAACCACCCGCACGCAGAGCCCAGAGAGACAGTCGCCTGCAGGGAGTGAATTCCCCATGAGGCAGTAACAGGCACTCACGCCATCCCCACGGCTACCGTACCTTTCTCCTCTTTCTCCAGCTCTCCACGAAGGTCCTCTGAGGAGAAACCAAGCAGGTGAGCGTGAATGACACGGAGATTGTCTGACAACGACAGTGACTGCACCTCCTGACACGGATGGCCCCGCTGGCTCACTTGCTCCCAGGCAGGCCCGAGGCACCGGGCCAGCGCAGGTGCGGGAGAGGCAGGATTCTGGCTTGTCCTGTCCAGCTTCCCCTCTTTTGCCCGGAGCTGGTCAGAGCTGGGATCTCCTTCCCCATCCTCGTCCGCCCCCAATGCCCCTCTATCCTGTGGGTCCCCGGGGGGAGCTCTGCGCCGAGGGGGCCTGAGTAAGTTCATCACCACATACCCCAGTGCTGCTGTGCTCACACAGCTTCGGGAAAGGCACGTCTCTGGGCCCCAAACCTCCAAAACCACACCCCTGCCCCTGGCACCTCATGGCCCAGCCCCACACCTGGGCCTACCTTTGAACTTCTTGAGCAGCCCCTTTAAGACAAAGGTCTTGAGGGAAACGTTCCAGACTTTATTCTTCATCTCAGAAGAGACTGTGCTTGGCTTGGGGGCCGGCACGTTGCTGCACCTGCAGGACGAGGAGGAAGGCCCACGAACACTGTCCCACTCCCACCATTAGGACGGCGAGGCCCCCTGGGCGGGGAGACGCAGGAAAAGGCGAGCCTGGTCTCATGCCCACACCCACACCCGGCACAGCAACTCCTGCCTCAGAAGGTACCAGATAAGGCGGTGGGGCCGTGGGAGGTGAGGGGCTGGGGGTGGGGGATAAAGAGGCTACGCGGTAGGAAAGAACCGGCTAAGAGGGGCCCGAGGAACCATTAGGTCCACTCACCTGCTCAGTGTGTTTTTAAATTCCTGGAAAGAAAGATGAAAGAAAACAAAATCAACATCAGGTAACCTCCATTCACCTCTGAAAAAATAAAACTGGCCCTGCCCTGTGTCCAGAGGAAGAGGCAATAAGCAGGGCTACCACACCCACCATGACACCAGGTGCCAAGGGCTCCCCCACTGTGCCTGGAGCTGGGCATCTCGTCAACATGGTGGGTCCCCTGACCCCATGCACAGCTCTGAAATGCTCCGTCACTACAGAATCCTCCCTGGAGCCAAGTGCTGGGCCCAGCGTGGCCTCTGCTCTCACGCCACCAAGACAAGTCAGAGCCTTTACGCAGCGACTGCTCCTTCAGACCAGTGTCTTATAAGTGACTGTTTTTGATCCATTTGTGTCTTGTGAAGTTTATTTCGTAGACTGTCACTATTTATTTTTATTTTTTTCAGGGGAGAGCGCGAATGCAGTCCTCCCTACTGCAAATTATGCAGACCCGTTTCCCACATGTGGGGAAATCGCAGGGGTCAGCACATCCACAGGGCAACGGACAAGCCTCGCTCTGGGAAAACCGCCCTCGTGACCACGGTATCTCCCCTGCCAGGTAAGTAGGACGAGATTGTGACTATTTTTCTAATGAAATAGGATAGAAAACATCTAAGTGCATCACACTAGTGCAGGTGTTGTTTCCTGGGACTTGTCTCAGTGTGCGCCTGCTGGAACATGATGTAAGACATATTCTTGTTCCTCACGGGGAGGACAGTTTTATCACATCCCTTTAGACCTGACTGACCCCAGGGACATCAGGGCACCTCTCTCCAGGCCCCCCTGGCTGCAGACTGTGTGAGTCGCTAAGTTCACAGGACCTGACTCTGTTCTCGCTGCCTTGGCAACGCCTTAGGATAAAGGACTCGGCCCTGGGGAGCCACTCACCTGCAGAAAGTCAAGGTCGGGCTTGCTGGTCGTCTCCTGGATCTGGCTGGTGAGCTTGGACAGCTGGGCGATCTCGCCCCCGAGCTGGGCCAGGTTCTCGTTCTGCTTTTGGGTCACCTCCCGGGACAGCTCCTCCAGGCGGCCCAGGAGCCGGCCCTCCTGCTCCACCAGGAAGGCCCGCAGGGCCTGGAACTCCGCCCCCACCTTCTCTCGCTCGGCTGCCATCTGCTTCTGTCTCGGGAGAGAAGTTGCAGAGGTGAGGGACATGAGCATCGAGACTTGGCATTTGGACAGGAGCGCTGAGCCACCCCACAGAGGAGGGTTACACCCGCCTCGCTGCTCAGGGGCCAGAGGCTCACCCACACAGGCACACCCTGCACAGCCTCTAATTTAAATACCCCACCGCTGAGGGCGCAGCCGCTTCAATACACGCTCTCGCTTCCCCCGGCACAGATGTGCCCACGTGTCTTTGTACCTGGGCTCTCCCTCAAACCGAGGGCAACTCCAAACTCACCTAAGAACTACTGAAGGCTGCCGTTTCCTCGTCTGAAAAGGAAGGTAAACGAGTGCCTCCCGGGCCACTCTCAGTATTAAATGGCGGGCGCTCTTTCTTCCCCAAACACATTTATTATGTGTCACATACAAGAACACAGGCCCGTATCGAGTCGCTATGCTAAGCACCACCTCGCTAAACAGGCTTCATTGCAGTTTCGGCTATCCCAGAAATGGAATCTTTTCTTTTTTTAAATATATTTTATAGATTTTTTTATAGAGAGGAAGAGAGATAGAGTTAGAAATATCGATCAGCTGCCTCCTGCACACCCCCTTACTGGGGATGTGCCCGCAACCAAGGGTACATGCCCTTGACCGGAATCAAACCTGGAACCTTTCAGTCCACAGGCCGACGCTCTATCCACTGAGCCAAACCAGTTAGGGCCAGAAATGGGATCTTAAACCAGCTGATCAGGAATTGCCTTTGTTGATAACCTGCCCTCCCTGATTGGGAAAGTAGCCTTGCAATAACCAAACCGGCTTTTTTGCCTGCAGACATTCCTTGTCCTTGCTACCTCTGCTTATAAAATCTCTCCCCTAATACAGCTCTTTGGGGTTCCTTTCTATCTGCTAGATTAGATGCTGCCCAATTCATCAACCACTGAATAAAGCCAATAAGATCTTTAAAATATACTCAGTTGAATTTTGTTTTTTAACATTCATCATCCCTCCAACTTTCACTCACTTTATTTCATTTTATTTATTTATTTATTTATGTGATTGTCTGAAATTTCTATAACCTTGCTCCGGATGCAGCAGGGCAAGGCCTCAAACCGTTCCAAAATGTTCTAGCAAGCACTATAGGAATGCACAGGGTCACCCCAGACCCAAGCACGCTGGAGGCTTGCAGACTTTATTTCATTTTAAAGTTTTTTTTTAAAAATTGACTTTATTTTTTTTTAAATATATTTTATTGATTTTCCACAGAGAGGAAGGAGAGAGATAGAGAGTTAGAAACATCGATCAGCTGCCTCCTGCACATCTCCCACTGGGGATGTGCCCGCAACCCAGGTACATGCCCTTGACCGGAATCAAACCTGGGACCCCTGAGTCCGCAGGCTGACGCTCTATCCACTGAGCCAAACCGGTTTTGGCAAAAAATTGACTTTAGAGAGGGAGAAGAAGGGGGAGAGAGAAACATCGATTTGTTGTTCCACTTATTTTGGTTGATTTTTTTTTTCTTAAGACATATTTTTAGTGATTTCAGAGAGGAAGTGAGAGGGAGAGACAGAAACATCAATGATGAGAGAATCACTGATCTGCTGCGTCCTGCACATCCCTCACAGGGAATCCAGCCAGCAGCCCAGGCATGCGCCCTGACGGGGAATCCAACCACGCCCTCCTGGTTCAGCCTCTCCGGCCAGCCTTGGCTGATTCTTGCATGTGCCCTGCCAAGGACAAACCCACAGCCTTGGCGTATGGGGACTATGCTCGAACCAACTGAGCCACCCAGCCAGGGCCTTCGCTTCACTTTAAAGAGCACCATTTCTGTTTAGCAATTATGAAGGTAACATATGCTCACAATACAAAATCTGCAAGTTGCAGAAAAAGAAGGAAAATCAATGCCAGTGACCAGAGGTGGCAGCACACCGACCTGACCCAAGTGAGAATCTGCTGTGTGCAGGCTTCCTATTCTGTTACTTCCATTACCAGGACCCACTGGATGTTTGCTCCTGTGTTTTCAGACACAGGCTCATGCTACGGATCCCCTGGATCCTTCACATGAGTATGTGCGCGGGGCTGCACATGACAAGGACTAGCGAGAAGTGAGGAGGGTTCCATCCCTCCAGGACAAGCTCAGCCGCCACAGTCCCTCTTCTTTAAAAGCCCGAACGGAGCCAGCGTGGCTCAGTGGTTGAGTGTGGACCTATGAACCAGGAGGTCACGGCGCGAATCCCAGCCCGGGCGGGATCCCCGGTGTGGGATGTGCAGGAGGCAGACGATCTATGGTTCTCTCTCATCATTGATGTTTCTATCTCTCTCTCCCTCTCCCTCCCTCTCTGAAACCACTAAGATTTTTTTAAAAGGCTGGAAGAGGAGCCCGTGAGTGGGTTTTGAATTCAAGAGACGTGGGTTCAGACCATGGCTCTTCCCTCCCACCCCCTCCCAACCCCACCGGGGCGCTCAGGACATTGGGCCTGGGGTCCTTTACAGGTGTAAACTCACTCCACGCTGACAACCCAACGATGTGGGTGCACTTTCACCCCATTGTACAAACGAGGAGAGAGACAGAGCAGCACGTCTGTCACCAGTAAGTGGGGAGCCAGGACTCCACCCCAGGGAGTCTGAGCCAAGAACCTGCATTTCTTGCAACTATATCATCCGGCCTCCCAAGGAAATAACGCAAGTGGGATGACATTAGCCAAAATACTCGAAATCAGGGCTTACCAGCCTCTGCGCTACTGACATTCGGGGCCAGACAGTTCTTTGTTGTAGCGGGCTGTCCGGCGCATTGCAGGGTGCTTAATCAGCACCCTGGCCTCTACCATTAAATGCCAGTCGCACCCCTGCCCCAGGGTTGACAACAAGAAAATTCTCCAGCCCTGGCTGGTGTGGCTAAGTGGATAGACTGTCGGCCTGTGGACTGAAGGGTCCCGGGTTTTATGCCGGTCAAGGGCACATGCCTGGGTTGCAGACTCGATCCCCAGTGGGGGACATGCAGGAGGCAGCAGATCAATGATTCTCTCTCATCGTGGATGTTTCTATCTCTCCCACTCCCTTCCTCTCTGAAATCAATAAAAATATATTTTTAAAAAATATCTTCAGACATTGCCAAATATCCCCTGGGGGCCAAAACTGCCCCCACTGAGAAGCACTCCTAAGTGGCAAGAGCACTTTCAGATAAAAGCATTCATTCTGTTATCATGCAGCACGGGCTATCCTCTACCTCTACTGCTGTATTAGCAGGCAGTATTTTGTAATTCTAAAGAATACGGGGCCAGAGGGGTGGTTGGCAGGGGACCCAGGGGCAGGTGCTAAGCGGTGTCATGGTGGGTAGGGCCAGAAACAGGACGCTGCCCACGATGTGGGAGGCCTCTGTGCCGTGGATGGAGGAGCCACATGCTCACTCCTGCCTCCAGAAGAGGGTGGGAGTCTGGAGATGAGGGTTACGCTCTTCCTTGGGGCGGGAAGTGAACGATCAGAAGGGAGGGCTGGGGTGCACAGGGAGGCAGGGGCACCAGTGCAGGTGAAGTCAGGAAGGGCCTGAACTCAGGTCTTCCCCCCACACCACCCCTCCCCAGCTTGAGGATAGGAGGGTCCTCCAGCTCCCAACTTCAGAACTGCGTGGCCCTCTCCTAACAGACTCCCCATAGATCCTCCATTCTTTTAGCACCGACTTATCGAGCGAAGAACTGAATTTTCGAGGTAGAAAATGACAGTCCGTGACCCACGCTGCTCGCCTCATCAAAAGGAGCCCGTTTCACTTTCCTGCTCCACCGAAAAGAAGACAAAATATAATTCCCGCCCACCAGGGGTCATGGGCACCCGGGGCTGTGCAGCGGGAGCTCCTAGGGACTGGTCGCCAGACTTCCCACCCTCAGCGCTCTGACCCTGTGAGCCCCCTTCCACTTAGCCTAATTGCAAAACCTCAGAACTCTAAAAATGAAAAAACAGTCTTTTCATAACTCTTCCGGTGGCAAGAAAAATGCCCTGGGCTGACACGAGGCTATTTGCTGTATTTATGCTCTCACTGAGTCTGAATATGCACGTTCCTCCGCAGAAACATTATGGCATTCCATCGGGGGAGGCTCCAAGGCCCTACCTGGGGTGTAATACTAACAGGGCTGTACACCCCGGTGCCCTGGCACAGCTCCAGTCAAAGCCAGCTGTTCTAGGGTTAGTTTAGCACCTCCTTTCGCTTGCAAAAGCCCTCGTTACATGATAAAGTATAGGGTCGCCTTTTATAACATGCACCCAATTATCTTTCTAAATCCACCTCTGCGGTTCCACTGCACATGCTCCACCACCGCACACACAACTGCCAGGTGTGGGTGGCTTCCGCTGCGGGGAGGGGGCTCACCAGGAGCTCCTTGCTCTCCTTCTCTTCGGTGGAGCGGAACACCTCATAGTCCTCCAGGTCACTCTTCAGGGCCTTCAGCC